GGGGTACTGGGGTGCCGCGGCCCCCATGAGGGGGTCCAGAAATTCTGGGGGGGCCGAAGAGGGGGGGGGCAGGGGCAGGTCGGCCAGGGAGCCTCGCTCTGCCCGCAGGGATGAGTCGTCCTCTGGGGGGTGGGGGCAGCCAAGGGCAGGGTGGCCCCCCCAGCCAGCCACAGCATCCCCCTGCTCCAGTGGTAGGCAGGAGCAGGCCCCCTCGCGGCTGCACAGGGGGCAGGGTAGGGGGCCCCCGCGGCTGGGGCCACCCCCAAGGCTGCTGCTGTCCTCTCCTGGGGAACTGCCTTCCTCCTCCTCCTCCTCCTCTTCAGCCCACTGAGCATTCCCTCGCTCCCCGAGCACCTCAGCAGGGTCTCCCGCCAGGGTCTCCCCGGCGCCACGGCCCTCGGGGTCCCAGCCACTCAGCAGGAAGCTGCCTGACCCTGAGGACTGGGCCGGGAAGGGCCGGGGCCCAGGGAAGAGGGGGGAGGCCCATGTCTCGGACACCAACTGGGGGACCTCGGAGGGGGCCTGGGGAGTCTGAGGGGCAGGCACTCCTGGGTCCAGGGGGTCCCAGTCATTGGGAAAGAGGGGCTCAGGTGGGGAGCCATGCTCCTCGAGGCGGATGTAGTACTCGCTGCTCACTGAGGGGCTGCGGGCACTGATGACTGGCAGTACGCTGGGCGTGGACAGCGCCTCATAGAAAGGGTTGGAGGGGTTGGTGTGGGGGGCTGAGGGCGCAGACGCCGGCTGCCAGGGAGGTGCCCCCCCACCCCGGCCAGCCCCTCGCCGGGCCTTCTCCCACAGGCACTCCAGGTTGAGGCCACGGCTGCTCTCAGTGACTGTGAGCACATCGTCAGGGTCAGCCCCAGGGAAGCCATCCAGAAGGGGAAATGGCGAGGAAAGTGTCCCCGGGCGGGGCACACTGTGCGTAGGGGGCCATGGCCAAGGGAAAGGACCATCTCGGGGTGGGGGAGGAGGGGGTGGGGGTCTGGGGGGCCTCTCAGAGAGCAGGTAGGTGAGCTGCAGTTGGAGATCAGAGGCTGAGGGGCGCTGGGCAGGTGGCCGCCAACAGGACTGCAGGATATCATACCTGGAGAGAGGGAGGACGCAAGAGTGAGTAGGGACAGAGACCCAGAGAGAGGGGGACAGAGACTCAGAGAGGAGGACAGAGACCCAGAGGGAGAGGAGGGCAGAGATTGAGGGAGAGAAGGGTAACTGCAGGGGGTGGGTTAAGACCCGAAAGGTGGGGGAAGACACCCACAGAGATGAGGGCAGGCCTAAAAGAAGAGGGGACAGCAAGGCAGATGTGAAGAAATGATGGTTAGGGCGGTGTCCCTGTTTGAGCTGTGAGTTCTGGAATCAGAGACAAGGAAGTAGCAGAGGTCTAATCCCAGCTCTGCTACTCCCCACCTCAGTTTACCTTCTAGGCAGCAGATGCTGGCAAGAGGGGGTGTGGATGTTCCCTCTCCACTCTCGGGGGAGTATCAAGGGGCAAGTGAGCTTGTGGATGGTGTACGAAATGAGGTGGGAGGTGCTGCGACCATTTTGGGATGGGATGTGGAAGGTCAGGGTCCCAGGTCAGGGCCCGGCCCTCACCAGTAATCCCCATAAGGCAGCTTGAGCCTAGGGCGGGCCAACTTCACATGCTGCTGGCGGACCACGAAGGCGAGGACCTCCTCGTCTGACAGGTGGCGGTAGGGCTGTGCCCCAAACTCAAATAGCTCCCACAGGGTCACCCCCAGGGACCTGCAGGGAGCAGAGGGGCAGAGAGAGATCAGAGCCAGTCCTGACATGCCAAGAGGCCTTCCCCTCCGGGCCTCAGTTTCCCCATCTGTAGAACCGGGTGGCATCCAGTGACGCTTTCACTTTCCTTGCCCTCCCCGACCCCCCGCGGCCTGGGACCCTCACCAGACGTTGCTCTCGCGGCTCTGGTCCACCACCATGAAGGTCCCATGCAGCTCTCCAAGGAGCTCGGGCGCCGCCCAGCGCAGCGGGATCCACAGACGCTCTGGGGTCAGGTAGTAGTCCTCCTGGGGGCGGGCCGGGACGTGGTCAGGCGGGTCAGGGCACCCCTTCAGCCCTCCGCCCCGACGGAGGACAGCCCCCACCTTGTAGTTGCTGTGGGCAAGCCCGTAGTCTCCGATGCGCACGGTGAGGTCGGAGGTCAGCAGGCAGTTGCGCAGGGCCAGGTCGCTGCGGGCGGGACCGGGCGGGACCGGGGGGGCTGAGCGCAGGGGCAGCCCTCCCTCCGCACCCCGGCTCCGGCTCCGCTCGCTTCCCTCTGACGGCTTCCCCTCATTCCCGTCTGCCTCTCTCCACCCCTGCTTCCTCCCGCCTCCCCATACCTTCTCTCCTCACTCCTCCCCGCCCCTCCTGGCTCCTCCCTCTTCTCGTCCCTCTGGCTCCTCCCCTTTCTCCTCCCTCGGGCCCATTCTGCATTGATTCCTTCTCTTTCTTCTCCTCCTGACCCTCTTCGGGTTTTCCTTTCTTTTGCCAATCGTGAGACTCCTCCCCTCCCCTTCCATTCTACCCCAACCCCCCAACAGAACCAAACTTCCGTCTCTCATGGCCTCTCCCCTTAGCTCCTTCCCCGGGGCCCCTCCCCGTGGCTCCCCAGGCCGCCCACCTGTGCACGTAGTTGTGAGAGTGCAGGTGCGCCAGTCCGCGAGCGATCTCCAGGCCCATCCTCTGCAGTGTCCGCAGGTCTCTAGGAGGAAGCTCAGGGGACAGGCCTTCAGGGGGCCGCTGGGCCCGCAGATAACGCTTCAGGTCGCCCTGGGAGGGAGACACGGAGGGGTCAGCACCAGCAGCCCCTCACAAGCACGCACATTTTGCCAATCTGAAGCCAGAATGGGGGTGGCCTCTGGTCTCAGAGGGCAGCCTCTGTGATACTCAGTTTCCCCCGCTACTTGAAGGGAGGTGATAACAGAAGCCACCTCTACAGGGAGCGCTCAAGAAATGGGTAGCGCATGCCACACAGGTGTCTCAATGATGGTGACGCCAAAGAGTCTTAGGACCCTAGGCTTGCCTCTGACCCGTCCAGCTCCCCACTCTGCCCTCCCCTAACCGCCCCCTCCCAAGACCCTCACCAGTTGACAGAACTCCATAATCAGCAGAAAGGGCAGTGTCTCCACACAGAGGCCCAGGCACTGGAGGACATTGGGGTGCTGCAGGCTCCTGAGGATGGGGAGGTGGCTGGGTCAGGGAAGCAGCCCCGTCCATCCTACCCCAGCCCTCCAACAGAACCAAACTGTTGTGTCAACCTCTATGGTCTTGGTTTCCTCACCTCAGAGTCTTTCTCCCCACATTCCTTCCCCAGGCCGCCATCTGAGGACTACCCTCACTGGCCCGTAGTCCCTGGGGCCAGACCCTTGGGTACTCCCTTGCCTCTCCTCCTCCTCACATTACCCACCCCCAGCCTTCATTCCTGCTCCCTGACTCTTCTCTGCCCCCTCCTTTTCATCCCCACAACCCTGGCTCAGGCCTCCTCCCAGTTTCCCTGACTCCAGTCTCTCCCCTTCAGTTTGTCCCTGACCTGCCATTTGCCTGCTCTCAGACCTCTGTGGCTCCCCGGCAACCCCAGGAGACAGCCCAGGCTCTTTGTTCTTTCCTGCCCTTCAAGCTGGCCCAGCATCGTTTATCACCTTGTGCACATCTTCCCAAACACACAGGCTCCTGCTCAGGCTCCAAGCTTTTGCATTTACAGTTCTCTCTCTGGAGAACATCCTTCCCTCATCAAAGTCCTCCTCCAGGGCTGGCTGGTTAGGTTAGCTCAGTTGGTCAGAGCATGGTGTTTTAACACCAAGGTAAAGGGTTTGAATCCCCGTACCAGGGGGCCAAAAAAAAAAAAAAAAAAAAAAAGTCTCCCTCCTCCTGAGGCCTCATCTTCAACATCATCTCCTAAGGAAGCTTCACTGCCCCCCAGCACTGGGCTGGGTACCACCACTTTACCCTCACCCTGTTGGTGAGAATCAGGCTCAGGGATTTGAATGCCAACTAATTTTAGGTGTGTAATCTCAGATACAGCAATGTGTCTCTCCCTGCCTCAGTTTTCCTCATCTGAAAAATATGGACAGTAATAGTAACTCCCTCATATGCTTGTGAAGAAGAATTTAGTGAGGTCAGAAAGGAGGTGGTACACAGCGAGAGATCCTAGTTATTACTATTGTTTTGATTTTAACATGTTTGATTTTATTTTTGCCCTCTATTCTTTTTTTTTTTTTTTTTTTTTTTTTTTTTTTTAATTCTATATACAGATGAACGGTAAGGGGATCTCTCCCAGGATCACCTGGTTAGGAGAGACTTGGTGTTGTCAGCACCACGCTCAGCCAGTGAGCGAACCAGCCATCAGTATATAGGATCCGAACCCGTGGCCTTGGTGTTATCAGCACCGCACTCTCCCGAGTGAGCCACGGGCCGGCCCTTTTGTTCTCTATTCTAACTGCGTTTCCAAGGCTGCTCCTTCCTGTCGAGCTTGTGCCTATCTTGTAACCTTTGCTGTTCCTGCTGCCTGGAACACACTTCCCACAATGCTTTGCATTTCTGCTAGTCAATCTGGCCTCCCCAATGATCCTATCTAAAGTGGCCCCTGTCTACCACATACTGCCTCATTTTCTGATGGAACTTATCATTCTCTGATATTTTCTCTCTTTACTGTGTTTCTTTCTTTCCTTTTTTTGGCGGCTGGCTGGTGCAGAGATCTGAACCCTTGACCTTGGTGTTACAACACTGCGCTCTGACCAGCTGAGCTAACCAGCCATCCTAAACATGGGAGATTTTGGATGGCAGATGTAGAAGGAGGGTTGGATTCTCTGCACACCCACTAATCTGAGCCAAGACTGGCCACTTCTGTTGCTAGACTCTCCCAAAAGCCCTGCTAGGCAGGATGATAATCCCTGTTTAATCCTGAGGAAAACAGGCTCAGAGAGGTGAAATGACTTGCCTGGAGTCACACAGCTGGTAACAGCAAAGTTGGGATTTGATCTCAGGTCTGTGGCTCGCTCAGTGAATATTTACTGAGGGCTGATGGCACTTGTACTCAGGTGACGAGATGAACCCTGAGCCACCAGTGTGGACTTGTGCTGTCCAACAGAATTTCGTGAAGGTAAAAATGTTCTAGACCTTTACTGTCCAATACAGGAGCCACTGGCCACATGTGACTATCAAGCACTTGAAATATGGTAAGTGTTGCTGAGGAAATGTTTTCAATTTGATTTCATTTTATTTAGCTTAAATTTAAATAGCCACGTGTGGCTAGTGGTTGCCAGCATGGGTCTAGGAAGAGACATTGGATAAGCAAGTAAGCAGATAAAATAATGACAGACTGGGATATGTGTTATAAAGAAAACACACGAGATGATGCGATGGGGCATCCTAGGGCCCTTCTTAGATGGCAGTCGGTGAGGGGAAGTTTGGGGAAGGAAAGGCTTGTCTGTGCTGAGACCTGAGGAGGGGAAGGGAGCCCCCAATTCAAAGCTGGGGGTGAGTGAACAAGGAGTGATATTCTAGAGAGAGGGAATAGCAAGGAGAATGGCCTTGAGGCAGGAAAGAGCCTGACATGTGGAAGAGTCAGTGAGGAGGCCAGGGTGGCTGGAGTGAGCGGGACAGTGGCAGGACGGGAAAAGAATCAGACTATGCAAAGAGTGGGACTTGTCCTGTAGGCAACAGGGAGCCACAGGAAGTTTTGGAGCAAGGGAGTGCCAAAGTCCAATGTCTGTGTCTCTCAGGGTAAAGGCCACTTTTACAATTGTTCTGATAAGGGGGCTCTGCGTACACACTGTTCCCATGACAGGGAACTCACTACCTCACAAGGCACGTATCTGGCATATGTTTATCTACATCCTAGGAGACCTTACAGTGGAGGAGAGACCAAGCAGGGGAGGGACAGAGTCTTGTCTTCCCAAACTTCACAGTCTAGCAGTGGGTAGGGAGGTGGGAGACAGAGCTCCTTAACAGCCTGCCTGGGTACCTGCTCAGGGCCGTGGTCTATGATTCTGCTTCCGCCCTTCCTCACCCACAAGCAGGGGCCTGAGGAAGGGAACCACCATCAGGAACCCAGCACTTAACACAGGGTAATCTCGCATCCTCTCAGCTATCCTCTTCCTGAGAACATGCAGGCTTCCTGGACTCAATTTCCAGATAAAGATACTGAAGTTCAAAGTGCAGACAACAGGGCTCTAGCTCAGGTTCTTTGCTCCACCCACCTCCATCATACTCCTAATATCATACTCACCTAATATCCCTAGCTCTGTCCTGAGGAAGAACCTGAGACTCCAGGAGGGAAACTCACGTGCCAGAGTTGCACATCCAGAAGTTGTAGGTCTAAGATTTGAACCCAGATTTGACCCCACACTATGCTCCTCTCACTCCCAAACTGAGACACAGGCCTAGACATTTGGGCCTCCAGAGCCCTCCTCCATGCAGAAGCCTCCAATACCTGTACGGCTGTGCTTCTGAGATGAACTTGCGCTGCTCCAGGGGCCCTGCGCTGGCTCGGAGCTCCTTCACCACCACCTGGGCTGGGGTGTAGTCAGAGAAGATCTCTCCCAGGATCACCTGGTCAGGAGGCACCCAGAAGTCAGCAAGTGCCGTTTCCCCAGCCCTGTCCCCCCAGGACCAGCTCCACCCCAGGGCTCCCAACTCACCCCTCCTTTTCAGCCTCTCCCTTCATATCCCACCATCCTCGTCCCCCATCAGATATGAATTGAGACTCACAGGCACAGAGTCCAGTGGGCGCAGGGACGGATGTAAGGATGGACTGACGGACGGACGCATGGAGAGCCGGGTGGCGAGGCGGAGTGGTCAATGGAGTGAGGAGGGAAGCGCTGACTGACAGATGTGGGGGGATGGGGCCAGTGGGAGTGGGTGAGCAATATAGGGGGAATGGGTGAGCTGTGGGGGCAGGGGAGAAGGTGAGGGACAGATGAGAGGTGGTGAGAGCAGGGGGGATGGACATAGAACAGGACCACAGCCCGGGACTGTATGGATACTGACCACCACCACCACCACCTCTCACCCTCAGCCCCACTCACCTTCCCAAACCAGCCACTCCCAATCTCTTGTAGGTAGCTGAGGTGCTGGCGGCTAAGGCCCAGGGGGGTGGTCATGTCTGTGGGGGATAAGAGGGGAAACCCCTGAGCCTCTCTCCCCCACACCACCAATACCCTCCACTCATCTCTTTTCATTGGCTGCCTCCAACATTCCATGGCAGGATCTCAGCCTCCTCACTGGCTGCCCACAAGATTTCAGCATCCAATCAGTTCTCCCCTTGGCATCCCAAGATCCCTTGATGTTATTTTACTCTCTCATTGGCTGCCTCTGAGATTGAGATCTATGCTGATTGCCCCACAAGAATCTCCAAATCTGGTTTTGGATTAAACAATGGCTTCCACCGAGATGATCTCTGCCTCCCTATAAGCTAATTCCAAGATTCTGGGCCTTCCACCTCTGCCTTTCCCATTGACTGCCCCAGGTCTCAGCTCCCTGGGGAAGACACTCAAGGACTTCAGCCCTGTCCTGTAGGACGATGGAATCCTGGTTAGGGTGTGGGCAGTACCTGAGTGTGAAGGCTGTGGGGCAGGCATTGGCAGGGAGACCTCAGCCAGCGGGAGAATGTAGACATCAGGCAGCGACTGTGAGGAGGAGGTCTCCTCCGCTGGGGGAGTGTACTCCCCAGAACAGTCCTCCCCTTCAGGGTTCTCAAACTCCTGGGGCAAGGAGGGGTGAGGAGTGGGAGAACATAGGGTTGAGAGATACACCACCATCCTTTTCCCCATACGTATCTCTCCCTATCATTCTCATAACTCTCCCTCAATCCCAGCCCAATTTTCATCCCCAATTTCTGGATCCCAAGGCTCCAGATCTTGCCATAATGTCAGGCCAGAATGTGCTGTCAGGTTTGCTGCTCCCCTTCCCCTGCCAACCACCTGGGTTTGGGGGAAAGGCCTTGCTGGAGTCTTCCTTTCCACGTTGAATCCCCTCATGCACCTCACCTTGAAGCCGACATCGCCCCGTTTGCAGCACAGACAGGTGAGGAGGAGGAAGATGAAGGCCAGGAGGCCAGAGCAGGAAATGAGGACCACGGCGTAGGGAGGAGCCAGTGGGGCCCGGCCAAGGGCGAATCCATCTGTGGGCACAGGGCTGGGCTGGGGTCCCGGCTTCGAGCCCCTGGCTCCTGGACTTCGTGCCCCTCCCATCCTGGCTAGTCTTAGACTACAACTCCTATGATGCTCTGCAACCAGGGTTCCTTGGCAAAGGAGCTGGATGGCCCAGGGCATTGTGGGAGTTGTAGTTTGAGGCCTTCCCAGGTGGTTGGGTTGGGGGTGGGGTCCCTCCTTTCGCCTTAAGCTGGGACCCCCCCCACCCCAACCCCTCACCCCTGGCTTGGATGAATTCCAGTGAGGAATGAGGAAAGGAGGAGTAACAGTGAGGCCTAGAGCTCCCAGAATTTAAAATACGCTGCCACTGGCAGCCTCATTACCCCCTATTTGGGAAAGAGGATGATCCCCCAGCTGTAGGGTGGGAGAAGATTCTTGCCCCATGCTGGAGCTCCTCACCCCCCAGTTAGGGGGGTTGAGACCTGTCTGTTTAAGGAACGTTTGGGGCACACACATGTCCTCTTGTGTGTGTCCCCAGCCTGAGCCCCTTAGAAGGGAACCCCGCAAGCCCTGACTCTCTCTGAAGCCAGAGACAGCCTCCTGTGTTGTGTGCCCCTTAGAGACAGTATTCCTCCCTCTGCCCCCAATTCTCCCGGAGGCCCTGTCTTTCCCCGGCTCCCTACAAACACCTGCACACACGTGTGCGTGCACACATACACACATGTTGCCTAAAAGGACCCCCTCCCCAAAACAGTATGGAGATTTCTCAAGCAACTATAAATAGATCTTCCATACAATTCAGCAATCTCACTTTTGAATATATACCCCAAGGAATGGAAATCATCCTATCAAAGGGATACTTGCACTCACATGTTCATCACATCTCTGTTTACAATAGCCAAGGTATGGAACCAACCTCAATGTTCATTGATGGATGATTGATAAGGAAACTCTGGGGTGTACACACACACACACACACACACACACACATTCCATATATATATATGTGGAATATTATGCCACCATAAACGGCATACAGAAAAATCACAATTTGTAATAATGAATATGCTAAGTTAAAAAATAAAAATAAAAATGTAATTGTGATGATAAGACACCAACTTAGAGATACTAGAAATATGAAATATGAAAAAAATGTAAAAAAAGAATTTCTGACAACTCTGAAGTGATACACTTTTAAAGTCCCAGATTCTATAGGGTAGGAAGTCCTTGATTTGAGTAAAAAGGGAATCTTAAGCAACAATCTTAAGGAAAGTCAATGAGGTAGGAGAACACTGAGATCATACAATGAAATGAGAAAAAACTATCCAGGATCTGAGGGAGGAAATATACAAGGAAATGAATGCCTTCAAAAAGAATGTAACAGCTCCTGGAGCTGAAAGATTCAAGAACCAAAATTAAAAACACAACTGAGAGCTTAAGCAGAAGGCTAGAGGAAGCTGATGAAAGAATTATTGAATTTGAAGATGATCTTTTCTTGATAACTGAGAAAGACCAAAAAACGGGGTTGCTGGGGTGGGGGGGAGAGGGTAGGATGGGGGGCGCGAGAATGAGGGCCCCGCCCCCGAGGGTAGCAGGGATTGGGGGAGCGGAGAGCCTGTCAGAGGACGGGTGGGAGGAGGGAGGAGGGAGTGTCGTCATGGCAACTGGCTCCCCGGTAGCATTGGCTGCCAGGAGGGAGGGGAAGAGAGAGGAGGGGGAGGGACCGGCAGGCCCTGGCGTGGTGTGGGGGTGGGGGGGAGGCGCAGGGTCCACGGTGCCTGGCCCGGACACTGCTGTGGCATGCCACCAATATGGACACGTGTGCTGCACGCTAAGATGCAGATGTCAGGCATATGTAGCCCACAAACAGCCAACATATGTCGCAGGGACCCTCATAGACAAGCACATCACATACAAAGGTGGACAGCCATCAGCAGACGGGGACACGTACACGTCACACACAAAGACGCAGGACGACAGCCCTAGGAACACACAGGCAGGCCGGCCCCCAGCACAGATGCACCCAGCCACGCAGGAACGTCAAAGCATCACAAAGATTCACACACGCCACAGACAAGGTAAAACCTCAGATCCACAGACACATGCACCACAAAGATTCACGCGGGCACCACAGTGACACGCTGAGGCACAAAGTCACACAGACACATTCCATAGAAAAACAGGCAACAAAGAACACCCATAGATGCAAATATCACATACATGCACATCACACAGATATGCACAGACATCACCTGCACAGAGATTCGTAGACACATCATATGCACTAACACAGACACATATTACATACACGAAAATACACAGACACAATATACACCAAAAGACACGCAGGATACGTGTGTATGGGCACACATAAGATACGCACATCACTCATACACCACTCCTGTGGATACACACGGACACATCACATGCACAGATGCACTTGGGCATGCACAACTCATACACACAAAGCTACACAGGCACATACAAAACTACGCACGAAGGACTGGCTGGTTAACTCGGTTGTTTGGAGCGTGGTACTATAAAACCAAGGTCAAGAGTTCAGATCCCCTTACTGGCCAGCCACCAAGAAAAAGCCCAACAACATAAATACATCACACACCAATACAGACAGACACGTATCACATACAGATATACAGTCACACACATTAAACATAAACACATACACACAACATAGACACACGGGCACACGCACTGAATACATAGACATACAAAGATACACTCACCGCACACCTAAACAGGCATGGACACGTACATCACAACTATACACACATTTCACACAAGGTCACAAAGGGACATCACCCCACCACAGTAATGCATCACACACACAAACACGAAGGAGCACACATAACACACACAAAGATTCAGACACACACTACACATGCAAAGACAGAGACATACGAATCCTGTGAGGTTACACAGACATTACACAACCACAAGCACTTGCCTCATACAAAAGATACATAACCAGGATTTATTTTATTTATTCCTATAAGTATTTACTCTGTGCCAGGCATTATTCCCAGCGCTTTACATTTTTTAATCCTCATAACAGCCCTCTAAAACGGTTATTTTTACCATGCCCATTGTACAGATGAGGAAACTGAGGGACGGCGAAGTTCAGTCACACAGCTGGGAAGTGGCAGAGCTGGGACTGGAACCAGGACCGTCAGGGACACCGAGACATCAGACAAGGACACACACACATCACGTGCCAGGCTGCCGCCGTCTCGGAATCACACCCCGCCCCCGACAGCACCCCGAGCTTCAGACCCCCGGAAGCGCGACTTCCAGCCCCGGAGCGGACGTCTCCATGTTCCGTGAGCACCTGCGATGCGTCCCCTGGGCGAGGCTTGGCCGGAACTACGCAGTCCAGACGCAGCCTCAGTAACACACGGCGTGGGAGACCCGGACACCCCATCCCAGTGCGACTCGGTCCCCCCCCACAACCCTCAGCAGGGGCCGAAGGCTTTCCACCAAAACGTGCGGCCGTGGCGCACGCGGGCTGGCGCTTCACAAGCCCCGCAGAGCACAGCCCTCCTCATCGGGGGCGTCCGGAGGAGGAGAAAGGGGTGGCCTCTTGGGGTGTCTCTTTGGAGAAACTGAGGCAGGCTCATCGCGGGAGGGAGGGGGTGCTCAGCCCTGTCTGCAGGGTGGAAGGAATGCAATTGGGGGTGCGGGGGCTGAGGAAAGACGCCCCCATGACTGAGGGGAACGGCACCTGGCGGAAGCAGAGGCTTACGGGAGGTGTAGTTGCAGCCCTGAGACTGGCGGGAAATGTAGGTCTGATTCTTCCAGGACATCTCTAAGCACCGCCCGGGGACGAGCAGCGGCTGGGCGAGGGCAGCAGGGGCCTGCTGGGAGTCTGCTGCTTGGGTCTTTGGAAATGATGTGGACAAAACTGAGTCCTGGGGAGCGGGATAGGCGGGATAGCAGTCCCAACCCTGTCCCCAGCTCGCCGTTTGATCAGTGATTCGTTCAACATGCACTCATGACGTACCTGCTACGCGATTATCGAGGCTCTGTGCCAGAAGCTGGGAGTGCGGCCGGGGACAAGTCAGACCCATTCCTTGCCTGTCTGGGGGTTATACGGGCTCAAGGAAAAGCAGCCACGAGTGAAGTAATTCCAAACAGGACTGGGCACTGCCAAGCACTGCACAGTCAGGAGGAGTGGACTCTGTCTGGGAAGTAACAGAAGGTCGCCTAGAGTTTTTCAAACTATGAACGCTGAGCCGTTAGCGGGGTGCGACATCAGGCTCCTCAGTCACAACCAGCATTTTTTTTTTTTTTCTAAATAAAATAGAATAAACTAGAACATAGCAGAGTTCATGTTCACTGTAGGGGAAATGTCAATGTATGAAACTTTTATTTCCGATAGGTCCTTTATCCTGGGAGCCAGATTTGGGATTTTTTCGATTTTAATAAGGCCATAGGCACATATACTGCATATGCTGAGCAGCTCCAGTGTGGGCTGGGCGGCCGGGTTGACATCCAACACTTCATGCTTTTATGATGAGATCTATGGACACTCCCACTAGGATAAGTAAAACTGTGTGTATGCTTAGGTCAAGTTTTGTCTCCAAACTTATGATAAAACTTTTTTTCATTTTTGGAAATTTATTTCAAAACTGTGTACCTGTATGTCAGCAGTTTGAGAAGTACGGCTCAGGGTCCCCTAGGAGTCCCTGAGACCTTTTCAGGGGGTCCACAAGGTTAAAATTATTTTACTACTAACACTGAAACATTGCATACATTTTTTGTTCTCATTCACTCATGAGTGTACAGTGGAGTTGTCCAGAAGTTATACGGTATGTGATAGCAGAAGCAGCTGCAAGGATCCGACCAGACATCAAAGAGATTTGCCAAATGGTACAAACAATGCCACTTAGCGCACTAAATTTCTTTTTAAATAAATGAATATTATTTTTAAATGAACAAAAATATAATGAATATTATTTTTATTAAATTAGATTTATATGTTAACTTGCAAATGGGTGTATTATTTTTAGATGCATTAGTAAACAAATATTTTCAAAATTTATCAGTTTTGATTTCAAATGTGGTAAATATCAATGGACTTA